GATAGATAGATAGATAGATAGATAGATAGATAGATAGATAGATAGATAGATAGAGTTAGCTAATAAACAGTGTGAGATAGATAGATAGAGATAGGGAGTTAGATAATAAACCGTCTGAGATAGATAGATAGATAGATAGATCAAATTTTAAACAATACCTTCGCATCGGCCCCACAATTAATATTTAATCAATGTGTTCACTCTGTCCGCATTTGCATCTATTTTTTGTGATTTTGGCTGCCCATTTCTTGCGTCATCTAACTTTTCTTTGAACCGCGTGTCCCACTCAAAAACACTTGATTTCTACATTTCATGTTCACCATTATCCATATTTAACTGGGTCACTCTTTCACTAGATTACATGTATAAATTATAGTAAATGGTTATAAGTTGTCTCGGGTTATGTCACTCTGTACAAGAACAAATCTGTGTCGCTCTCATTGAGGAACGAAATCACACGCAATGATTCTTGCCTGTTTCGACCAGCACTGTTTTTTCTTTTCTTTTTTCTTTTTTAATCATTTTACTCCAAGCAAGACGGGAATTCCACTAGTACGGAGGAGGTTACAGCAATAAACTCACATTCCTGGATGTTCTAATATCTCTAACAGAGCATAGGTGCAAGTCATCCGTATACTGCAAGCCAGCATTCATCGAACAATACCTCAACTTCAACTCCCATCCATACTGTGTAAAGAATAAAATTAAAATCGAGTAAAAGTCATAAATGGCGACCCAGAGACATATAACTGGTCAGTAAATGCATGGTCAGTATAAGCAGTACCCTACAAATGTAACAACTACCCTGTGTACATGGCAGCAACCCGATAATCTGGGATAGAAAGGTACAAGAGGATAACAACACAGAGAAAACAGATTCAATCTACCTGCTCTATGTGAAGGGATTATCGGAGAAAATTCAAAAGATATGTGGCCCATATAACACCAGGTTTAACACTTTGCAGACACCTCTTCCAAATAAGACCCCTCATAGAGGAGAACGTGACTAAGGACTGTGTGTACGTCATCCTGTGCAGCTGTGGTAAGAAATCTATAGAAACAACAGGCCGCCCACTTAATATAAGACTGCAAGAACATCATAAAGCTGTAACATGAGAGAAAATAGAAAAATCTGGTGTATGTGACAACATATGGAAGGAAAAGTGAGATCACCGCCTCCTGTGGGATGAGGTTGAAATAATAGACAGAGAACATCACTGGAAAATACGAAAACTTAAGGAATCAGCGCATATGATTGGTCACAAAAATCTCATAAGCCGGACAAGCAAAGGAATGAATACAATATGGGAACCAGTCATACGAAGTGCTAGAGAAAAACAATAATAACAACAAAATTGCAATATGATAAAAGTGGTTATTGAGATATTAAGTTTCTAAGTCCTAAAACTTCATACAATGATGACTTCAATGTCCAATGGATAAAAGCGAAGGTTGAATCCAGTGACTTGACCCAATACCTGGCTACTGCAGTGGTGAAAAATTACCTTGATAGTTGAGTTGAAGGGAGATAACTGAGACATCCGGTAGAGGCGTGGCACGTGGAACTAAAACAATCTACTTCAGTGGACGTAACAAAGGATTCAGTTACAAATTCCAATCACCTGAAGAAAGACGGAGCGTACAACGGCCGAAACGTCGTGAATATGGCAACAAAAATGACGTCAACAGTTCGAACACTGTAAATAGTGCAAATAATCAGAGGGGACACAGTGACCCAACTAGATGCAGCTATTGATTCGATGATTCAAGTCTGTAAAGTCTACATGGGTATTCAAGAATATATAAGTATATTGAACATTTTGAGTCACCCTTCTTCGTTTCCACAGTAAATTTATATAATCTTCTTTCTTGAAAAATACTTTTTTTTAATTAATTCAGCCAAGCAAGGCGATAATGTCACTAAGACGCAAGGTGTTGGGAAGAGATAGAGAAAACATTAGAAGGAACCGGAAATTCACTCCTAAACAGGAAACAAGTGATAAACCTCTATTGCTATTGTTTGTGGTCACATCATATTAAAACAGCGGTTCTTCTGCGACCACCTCAATGGATGACCACTTGGGAATACCAGGTGTTGTAAGTTTAGATAGGCCCGTCGTGTAATGGCTTGGAATTGTTAATCGGAGAACAGAGTTCCAATTCCTGTTGGGTTCGTTATATTCACTTACGACCAAATACTATTGTATGATTCCACCTTTTCTCCCTTCAGCTGTGGGTTAATTAGTAAGACGTGTATTACTAAATTATTATTACCCCAAATAAAATATTCTTACAATTTTCTAGCTTTAAATAAATAAGGGTTGATAAGCCGTAAAAAACGAATCAATCAATCTACTCCTCTTCAAATAACCGGGTTATTAAGTAGCAAATTTTGATCTATACCACTGTCCTCATACCTATCTGCCAATTTTAAAATGTTCACATCTATCTTGATATAACGATTTTTCATTTCTCTCAATATTTTCATATTTATCTATATATTTCATTTTTATATAAGTTTAGCTAGAAAGAACCCGATTTAACATTATACAGGCGTTTTTGCTTATTCCTTCTCCACCCTTCCCTTCTTCTTTCGATTTTGTTACTGTATTCGATAAGTAAAAAGTTGAATATACGTTTTTTTTTCAATAAATGTTCTGCATTTTCCTCTGATAAATCTCATGGAATGAAATGCGTTGTAAAAATAAGTATTCCATTTATGATTTCTTTTTATTAACATTATATTTGCAGGTACATTCATTTATATCTCAGTTTTTATACATAAAAATGCATACACATTTTCAGAAAATCAACATTGCACAAAGATGGAGTTTGATGTGATAAGGACCGACACCAAAAATAGATTCATAGCTTTCACCTACTTCTGAGCGTTTAGTTTTCAGATCGTCTGAAAAAATGTACAGAAATACCTTATTTCCACAGGTTTTTGCTTACAAACTGAATTCAAAATTTTATCATTTCAATAATTTCAAATAAAGTTAATATCTTTTGTATTAGATACATTGAATTGAAAATATATTCAAACCAGAATTCTAATCACCACAAACAAAATATGCTATTTTTTTTTACTATATTCGATACGTAAAAACTGTATAAAATGTCAAAAGGCTACTCAATGAATAAGATTTATTAGATCAAAATTGATAAAAACAAAAAATAGATAACAGTCTATATAATATCATAATACTGCTGGGCACAAATATAATATTTTATTAGATAAAATGTTTTAAATTTGCATTGTTTATTGACAATCGCATCCAAACTACAGCACTGTATAATATATTACATCATAATATAGCTAAATTCTTCAGTATAATTTCCTTTTGAATAAAATGAAGATCTCATTTTATGGCACAATGATTTTGTAAAAAATAATGTTCTTGTGCCATGCATCTCGTCCATATAGAATTTGTAAAGCTTCAGTAAATTAGAAATATTATAAGACTGTGCTGATCACCGGGATGAAATCCCAACGCTACGATTTTGAACCTAAAAGTAATCCTTAAACTCGTTTCCTCAAAAAACAGTAACGATCTGGAAAAAAATATTTTGTACCCTGTGTCTCTTCCGGTTGTGGTTGATCATGGCTGTCGTCAACTTTGTAGGTCTAAGCAAATTATGTCTCCTTGCTATCTGTTATCCGTTTACACAAACTTGTCAAATAGGTTACTCGCTGTTTCCCTCTTGCATTCAATATGTCCCCTAAGTGTCAAATTCTTTTTCTTTATTATATATCTCAGAAGTTTCAAGTGTTTTTTTTTATTCTAAGCACAGGTGTCTGATTTTCTTGATTATTCCGCCTGCACCTGACATAATCGACACATGAGAAGGGCAGATGTCCTCATGTCACAAAGAATGAAACAGAGAAATTAAGATTACATTTTGGTTAGAGCAATACTTACTTTGCACAAGGGTCAGCGGGAAGAGGCATGAAAACACTTTTCCCTCCAACTATGAGTAAATAGCAAAACAGGTGTAACTTTTCGACCCTGTACTGATATCTGTTCTCCTGTATACCAGCGAATGCTAGACAATCTCCTCAAAGATGAAGAAGAGACTCGAAGTAACAGAAATGTGGTTCTACAGAAGGATGCTGAGGATACCATGGGCCGAACATGTGAGCAACGACGAGGTTTTGGGGAGATTGGAAACAAAAAGGAAACTTATATTTAACATCAGGAAGAGGCAGCTGAAATTTCTGGGACACTAATGCGGAAGGAGGGCTTGGAAAATCTGATACTCACAGGACGGATAGAGTGAAAGAGGAACAGGGGAAAGAAACGTGTAACATAATGGGCTTGAGCAAATGGATTGCAGAACGGGGTTTGGGAGAAATAACAAAAAGACAAAACTTATTAAGAGCTACAAGGTACAGGAGGATGTGGAGGGTCATGATCGCCTACGTGTGAAAGCACTAGGGTATATATATATAGGAAAGAAGAAGGCAATCTATTTCGGGAGCTGGGCGCGCTTACAGGCAGTAAATGTGTTTTTGTGGAGTGTTTGGGAAATGGAGAGAAAAAATCATTATGGTACAAGACAGGAAGCGGCTTTTTTTTTATTTTTATAGACGATATATAAAGGTGAAATATCAATTTCATTCGAATATTGCAATCGACTATTACGCTGACGTCGATTTGGAAACTCTATCATCGAATGATCCTTACTCGTGATTCCATGAACTGTTCATTGCCAACAGCTGATTCTTATTTCATCGTGTTGAGAGGGGGGGAGGGAAGGCGAGATAAATGAAATTATTTTCAAATCGAAGGCCAATGAATATTTGCGCTAGGAGTAATCGATTTCCAATACTTCAAGTCTACTAACTTCTCGAAATCATCCTGTTGTCGTCATAGAAATGAAAATATATTTTTTTTTAAATAAAAAAAAAAAAAGCCGTTATTTCACTTCATGGAGAGAAAATGCAATTTTTGAATGTAATATTTTAAACGATGTATATAAAACGTCTATATCTTGTAATGTTAATTCCAGCTTCGTTCTATCTATCTATCTATCTTGTTCCTTTCCCATCTCACTGCTCTCTCTCTATCATGTTCTGTTCCCATCTCACTCCTCTTTCTCTCTCCCTTTCTGTCTCTCTCCCTCTCTCTTGTTCAGTTCCAATCTATCTATGTATCTATCTTGTTCCATTCCCATTTTACTCCTTCTCCCTCCTCTCTCTCTCTCTCTTTCTATCTATCTTGTTCCATTCCCATCTCACTCCATCGCCCTCTCTTTATCTATCTTGTTCCGTTTCCACCTCACTCCTCTTTCTCTCCCTCTCTGTCTCTCTCTCTCTTGTTCCTTTCCAATCTATCTATCTATCTATCTATCTCAGTCTGTTCGTATCTATTTATCCATTGTCATCTCAATCTCACCTCTCTCTCTCTCTCTCTCTATCTATCTATCTATCTAGTTCCACACCCACGCCCTCTCTTTCTCTATCTTGTTCCGTTCCAATCTTACTCCCCTTCACTCTCTCTCTCTCTCTCTCTCTCTCTCTCTCTCTCTCTCTATCTATCTTGTTCCATTCCCATCTCACACCCCCGCTCTCTCTTTCTCTATCTATCTTGTTCTGTTCCCATCGTTTACTCCATTTATTTATTAAACAGTACATTTATTTATTTATTTTTGTCTATCGTCCTGAATATTCGAGAAATCTTATTAGCGAAAAATATGCGCTCTCCGACAGGATTCGAACCCGCGTTCTCCTGGGCAGGGGAAGCCATAGTTAGGTCCGATGTGCTTTCAGATCGTCTCTGGGTTTTTATATATTAATTCGAATGATTTTATTACTTAAACGTAAGTACTTCCAATAATTCGCTAAAAATCAGTATAGCATAAAAGGTCCCAAACTTAATAAAAACAAAGTTTCATCGTTAAAATGTTTATGTTATTATTAAGGGGAAAGAACTTTTTTTTAAATATATTTTTTTTAAATTTTCCTTCTTTCTAACGCGTACTAAATTTGGGAAAAAATCTCATTTTTTTTTAACTTTATAAGAGAGTTGTCGGGACCGGAGAAGAAGTCTCTTATATTCGGGTTTCTCTTATATCCGGGTTTGGTGTATTTTATATACATTAACACAGGCTCTAATTTGGGACCAGAGAAAATCTCTCTTATATCCGGGTTTCTGTTATATACGGGTCTCTTATATCCGGGTTACACTGTACTTGTGGTAATGGACATCTTAGTATAGCAATTTCAGGGGGAAAATCCATTAATTTGGAAATTCTTGCAAAAATCAAATAATTGTCTGATTTTAATGAAACTTTCAGGACTTATTCATACATGGATGAACTTATTTTTGAAATTTTTATCTTTAGAAAATCTTCGTAAAAAGATTACATTTGTTACCCCCCACCCACCCATAAATTAATTTTATTAAATTTTCTAGAATTTCAAACAGTTCGCAAATTATTTTCTATTACTTATAAGCAGGACTCCTTGGAGAAATCAAGTCATCAATTTCTTTTTTCACAACTACTGCCAACTTTTTAAAAATCTGCTCCAAATCGTAAAATAAAAACTGCAATAAACTAATTATCAAATTAGGTAGGCTTTTATTTTATAAATAATACACATTAAGGACATTATTATCTGAAGAAAAAAATTCGATAAATAAAGAATTTTTACAAGAATTGTTTGAATTTCACTTTTAGTTTCTTTTCCTCCATTTTTCTTTAATTTTAAAAAATGCTTTAAAATTCTTCCAAGCAGAGTATGGGGTAGGTCATTAAGTTTTTAAGTGAAGACTATATTTACTAAGCGAAAATTAATAGATTAATACAAATAATGCTACCAAAACTTTTTACCATAATTAAAAATATTTTTTTTTGTGCGTCAAAATGTTATTTTTCTTTTTAGTATGATATCTCATAAGTGACACTATGGTTAAAAGATCACATGTTTCAAGGCTTGTCTCCTCCTTGGAGAAAGCCCCTTGACATCAAAGTTATTAAATTGAAAATTAAACTGAGATAATAAAATTATCTCATTTATCAATTTAAACAATTTATAACTCAGTGCGATATTTTTATCATTAATATAATAATAATTATATTAATTATTACCACAGTTATTAAATTAAAATGTAATAATTTAATGTAATATTAATAATTAATAAAATTATTAATCATTATCTTAGCTATTAAACAATGAAAGAGATAGAGGTAACTCAATAATGTAAGAAATTATTATAGCATCTTAAATTATTATAAAAAAACCGTTATGCTTCTTTTGACGCACCATACTAAACCTGTCAACACATTTAGCCATCGAATTATCGATGGAGACGTGAAAATAACAAGAACCTGGAGGTCAAGAAATGTTTGTCTAGAAAATTTTATGCTATAAATAAGTGATATTTGTTTCAGAGCAGATTAATTTAACTTTAAATTTGCTAATTTTACGAAAGTAACGTTTCAGAAATGTATATCTTATTTTAGCGGGATTTTCAAAACCGAAAAAGAAGTTCGTTTACATTTCTCTAAAAAAAAGTTAAAAATGGCCGTTTCGATTGTTTTTTTCGGAAGCATCGACTAAAAATCATTCAAATTTCTATTTGAAATTCTCCACAGTATTTTTTTTTCTGGAATTAGAAAATTTAATCCTTTAGCTTTCAATTAAAGCGGTTGGAAAGATTCGAAAAGGATTTTTCCTTAATGAAAAATACATTTATACCTTAGGTATACCGAATTATTGGAGGTTGCTACTTAAACGTTATTTAGTGGGTGTTTGAGTAGACGCTCTGTTTATTTATTAAAGAGCATATTTATTTATTTGCAACGATCTGAATATACGTTTTTTGTTTTTTTCAATAAATGTTCTGCATTTTCCTCCGATAAATCTCCTCAAGGAATGAAATGCGGTTGTAAAAATAAGTTTTACACGTATTTCTTATTAATAATATTCTATTTGCAGATACATTCATTATATCTCAGTTTTATGCACAAAAATGCATACGCATTTTCAGAAAATCAACATTTCACTCGGTGCGGGAGCCGGAGTTTGATGTGATAAGGACGGACACCAAAAATAATGTTCAGAGCTTTCATGTATTTTTGAGCTTTTAGTTTTAAAGATCGTCTGAAAAAATGAAGAGAAATACCTTATTTCCACAGGTTTTTGCTTACAAACTGACTTTGAAATTTTATTATTCCAAGAATAAATCGAAATAATTTTGATATCTTTTGTATTAGATACATTGAATGGAAAATATATTCAAACTAGAATTTTAATTATGAATCACCGCAAGCAAAATATGCTATTGTTTGCAGTATTGGAGAAGTAAAAATTGTAAAACAATTGTAAAAGGTCACAAAAAAGGCTACTCAACAAATAAGATTTGTTAGATGATACTTAATAAAAACAAAATATAGATAAAAGTGTATATAACACCATAATACTGCTGGGCACAAATTATAAGACAAAATGTTTTAAATTTGTATTGTTTAATGAAAATCACAGTAAAACTATTGCATTGTATAACATATTACATCATAATATAGCTAAATTGTTCAGTATAATTTCCCTTTGAAATAAATGATGGTCTTACTTGATGGCACAATGATTTCGTAATAAATAATGTGCTTGTGCCATGCCTCTTGTCCATATACAATTTGTAAAGTTTCAGTAAATTATAAATTTTATAAGGCTGTGCTATAAAACTTTCACTGATTAATGGAATGAAATTCCAATCCTACAATTTTGAACATAAATTTAATCTTTAAACTCGTCTCCTCAAAAAACGGTAACGATTTGGAAAAAATATTTAGTGATATTATTTCAAATTGTGTGCAATACCACGGTTCCATAATCGACCTGCCTTAATACACTTGTGTGTGTCGATTTTGAGATAAAATGGAAAAGCTTATAAGCGTCGCGTTTCGCCGCTAACTGCTGGGTTCGGCTTCTTTAGATCGAAATAAAAGACAAGACTGTGTGTAAGGAAAATGGGTTGATAATAAACAGGCTCGGTTAGGGCATGATAGATCAATCCTTTCTGAAAATCGTGATTGTTTAAATAGAAAGTTACGAGGGTGGCCTAAAAAGTTCATAGGCTGACTATGAAGGGTTAATGCTAGAGGTGTTAAGTTTTGCATGCCTCAATTTCATCTCTTCTTATTGATAACTGAATTGTTTCTTTTTATGTAAACTGGCATCTGACTGTTCAAGGAAAAATTCAAATTAACTAGTAGCGACTTCTCTTGAAAATGGACAAAATTACCTTTATGAAAAGAGGTTAGCCGTCAAGAGTATTCATGCTGATATGGTTGCTAAACCTTACATTACCTAGTAATTTAATTTAACAATAATAACATACATGCAAAGTGATTAATTGACTTCTAAATTAATCGATTAAAATTCGACAAAAATCGTTTAAAGCATATTCGAATTGTTGAGGTTTATGTGATTGGCATAATAACATCAGACGGACTGTATTAGCTTGAAATTAAACCTTAAATAAAAATTTCAAGAAAGAATTTTCATTTTTTAAATGCATTTTTAAACTACCTACGTATAATTGTGTATTCTTTGCAGTTGCTTTTGTATTTGTGTTGATAAGATAAAGGAAACACCATTTAATTGCAGTGTGCAAAATCTGAACCGATTGGCCCTACTTAAGACTACGTTGACTAGTTGAGTGTTCAGTTTATCACCGTTAAATGCTTCAACACTAAATAATTGTTGTTGAAATTCGGACAGTTTGCAAAACTGTGATTAACTTGTATCAGCAAGTCATAAATCCTTTTTGAAATACTCAGAAGTTCTACAACAATATATCAACACTTCAGGGAAGGGGGGAGTCTATTTATGCAACGCATACCCGGCATATCATACATTTTTCCAGAATAAACCATTTTGTATAATGGAAAATTAATTATTGATAATATTCACTATCCCTTTTGTACTTGTATTTTTTATATGTTCCATTTCCTCATTTCTTAGGATAATTGCTACAAGTGATAATATTTAGCAAGTGGAGAAAACGCTTGTTGTTTATCGAGGAAAGACGCGAGTAAAAGCAATGAATTTACTAGCCTTTTTAGTAGAGAGCATGAGAGACAGAATGTAATAGTGATTGAGTGTGAGAGAGATAGTCACCAAAAAGCAGAAATTCTTTTGCTTGCGTTAGAAAAGGCCGTGGCTTTAACCTTCCATGTTTTATTATTCCCTTCAAGCTGGGTGCATGAAAAAAAGACAGAATAATAAAGTGGTGGTGGGGGGGTCACAGTAAGAAATCCACCAAAAAGCAGAAATTCTTTAGCTTGAATTTCCAGCCGTATTGAGCCAGCAGACACTCTCAACTAAAGTGATGATATTTTATTGCTGAAACCAAAGACTTGCCTATTGAAAGGACTCATAGTCGGACAGATTTGGACGAAAAATTTGTATTATTCGGTTCTGAAGAGTATACAGAGAACATCTGACGACTTTAGTGTCACATCAAAAGTTCTTTTTCTACTGACTTATAAAGTTTTAACCTATGAAGAGAATTCTTGACCCCTTCTTAAGAACGAATTCAGTCATGTGACCATTACCCAGAAAAGAGGCTCAACCGGTAGAGTCTATTTTTTGTCAT